TGGGGCATATCACACCTATAATAAAAATAAACTTAGCCAATTCCATTTAGCACAATGAGGAGGCATGCCAGTTGGCTTAGCACATCTTGCACCTTTATTCCTTGTGTTTAATGTTACTTGACCTCTTGCTTTTCCATATATAGACTCATTCTATATATTATACACAAAGAAAATAGAGGGGTTCCCACAGTAGTTCCAGAAGGAAGAAAACATTATCATTAGCAGAATTTGCCAGCATCCACATGCTGAGGACATATCCTCATGGAAGATGTCTGACCTGTTCTTATGAGATGGATTCCTGCAACAACACAGGCTGTCTTTGTCTCAAACAGGATCAAGACCAACTGATAACTCAGAGGACATTGTCAAGCAATTGCTGCAGTCACCAAGGATTATTTGTCCTGTGCACACTCACCTCCTTAGAATTGTCACACAAAGCGGACCTGTCTCACTAGGATGTCTTTGCTTTAATTATAGTTACACACAATAACTTATACCCTTGCCACCACTTTGCAGGAGCTTGTAGGCCACCAGTATTTACTCTCTCCTATAATTAGGCATTTCAGTGTCTGCATCTGGAAGCATGAATGCCTTCACGGCATACAACTAGTGCAGTTTGTGGGCCCCACACTCAGAAGGGCTCCATGCTTGGTTTAATTCTCTGCTGCTGCCGAATTGAAATGCTTAATAATTTTTTAACAAGGAGTTCCACATTTTTATATTGTACTGAGCTCCACAAATTATGTATCTTGTCCTGAGGACTAACGGTTTCAAGGTGAATGTCTATCAAGCCCTGTCTCTACACCCAAGATGGAAGCCATTACTGAATGGTTCTGAGTAGCTTTTTGTTACAGTGATCATTTTCACCATCATTCATTTGGCAGGGTGACTGCCACAAACCTGAAAGTTTAAGCAGTCCAAAAACACTTTTGACATGTGATTACAAACAACTGGTTCAACCAAAAGTTAAGCTTTGGCCTTGGCCACCCTTTATCATCCTGACAAGTGTACAGACAGGCTCCTGCCCCTTCAGGTCTCCTTCAAGTTTATAAATAATACCACCCCCAAACACTGGTTCATTAAGTTTACTATTCTGTAAACTTAATGTGTCATTTGGAATTTAACAATTTCCTTACCATTAATTGATTAAAGGTGTGCAGAACTGCATCGGATGTAATAAAAGTCAAGCCCTATAATTTCAATTATTAAACACTTGTACCAGAGCCTATACCCAAGCAGCTCAGTGGCTGCTGGTACCTGAACTGCAAAAGTAGCAGCTGGCATGCCCAGAAAAAAAGGAAACTATATGAAGAAATTGTGTTCCCAGCTGTGAGATTTGAAAAGGCCCTCCTCGATGTGAGTGACAAAGGGGGTCTATAAACTGTGCATTTTCCTCAGGACATCCCAGCACACACCTCAAGCTCTTCACATTGCATTGTCATTTTCTACCTGTCCACAGTGGATCCTGACACAGAACTGTCACAGGTTCTGAAAGAATAATTGTCCGCTCACTCTCCAGAGGCCTGAGAGCAAAAGCGTCCCCTGCCACGTACCTGTTAGCTGGCATTAACACATTCTCTTTTCTAGACCTCAAAACAATGCAGAAATTCAATTGTATGTGCAGGTGTGCATGTATGTTGTATGCAGGGAGGGAAGAAAGTTGGGGGAGTTCGTAAAGTGATACCTTATCCTTATTCATGACTGTGCAGAACACATACCTTTTTATTTCCTTCTTGGTCTTTCTGAAGTCATCTCTAGAGACTGGGTTTCAAACATGATCTTTATTTCATTGCTAAGACCCAGAAAATACTAATGTAACAGCCTCAGATTCACATTAATTTCAAACTGACAGCATAATCCAGCTACAACTCTATGTGCAACAGAAATCCTGGACAGAACTGGCCATGGCCAGGCAGAGAATCCATGGGAACAGGCAGCCATTGTCTCTTTCAACATCCACAATAGCACAAACTCCTGAAAGTAACTATTCTTATGCCTGGGTGAAATCCACCTCACAGACTTCAGGCTGCACATTCGCAGCGCTGAAAACAATAAATAAATATCATATGGCTTCTGAAATAATGAACAACTTCCTAGCCCTCCCTTAGTCACCAGGGCAGCATTCGTTCTGCAGATATTTTCTGATATTTGTCTTTATCTTGTTAATGCAATTGGGAAAACAATAAAAATCAAATTTCTCATTTGGAAACTTCTACTCCTCCACATTCAGAAATTCTGAATTTTTGTTTCTAATTCATCAGTGGGAAATATTGATCTAGACACAGTCACCCTGGAAATCTTGAAGATGTTTCAATTGCCCACTCCCGACAACTAAATTGAGTTTAAGGCCCACTTCCTTCGGCAAACTTTGATGAATAGCCTGGCACTCTCTTCAAAGAAGTAACATTCTTCCTCTTTTCCTTCTGAGCACTTTCAAAGTTTGATAGCTACATATTTCATTCACTTATTTAATAAGTATTTATCAAGTACTATGTGGTAGACACTGAAGGGTACAGGACTTACCCCAGTCCCTGCTTGCCAGGTACCCATGGGTCAGTCTGAATGAGGCCTTTGTGTGCCACTGAGCTCCCAGAAACTCAAGCACCTAGCCATGCCATTGTCTTGTTCCAAACACATACTTGTTGACCAAATGCAATGGGTAGACTTCGTTTTATAAATAGAGCATTCCAAAGTCAAAAGGGTAAGTCGGGTGTGCTATCAGTTGAGCAACGTTTGAAACTGAAAATCACTGATGACCTGCTCTGAAGAATATTTCCTCTTACTGATGGATATATTGCCAAGTTGGGAAATGTGAAAGGATCTCTTTCACATTTTGCTGCATCAGAAATGGTCACAGGTTCTGCTGTGATTTGTTGGCACAGGTCTGTTTGCAGCAGGGGCTGACAGAAGCCTATTAATGCCAAAAAATACTTCTCTCTTTCTCAAATCTATGGAAACTGAATGTCACTGAAATGACTGATATATCTTGGCCGTTACTGGGAACTACACCTGTCTCGCTTTCCTAGAACGCAACTAGGTACGAATCTCCAGGAGCAACAATTCACCTTTCCAAATTACAGAGCCCAGGAGTGGCACAGTGGAAAGAATTCAGCTGCTAAAAAAACAAGGGAATTACATGCAAAAACCTCACTCAAAAACAGTAAGGGAGAACTGTTAGTGTTTAGCTTAAATTTTTATCTAAGCAGAAGCCAGGAATGTTCTGCAGGCTGCAAGGGCTCTATGTACCATCTAATATGTTTAAATACAAGGTCCAAAAACATTGTAATTCCACTTTAACACAAAGTCCTTCAATATACTGAGAAGAATACATTCAACTGCTTAAATATCCTTCACTGAGAAACTGAGCATGAATTTTACTGTGATTAAGTGATAAGAGCTGAGTCTAATGCCATATGAAATTTGTTTTTAAATAGTTATTTTATTCAGAGTGGTTGCTTCTTAATGATGCTGTCTTAATTTCCTCTTAAACCTGTTTCATCTATAGTCATTCAACATTAATATTTTGTTCATTTAATTTTAAAGTATTCTTAATTTAAAGCTATTACAAATATTCTACGGTCACTGAAGATAATTCAGCATAGATGCTTCCATGAAAATATCATAGAAAACATGATCAACATTTTATTGCTGTAATCTGGCTTAACAAACACAATACTATAAACTATTTTTGTACATTAAAACTAAACTATTCTAGAATATTATAAAATCCACTGCTAAATACATCTTTTTTAAAACTGTGCTTCTTTATTTTGGAATTCTTAACAGTGTAGTTAGATTTCAAATTGTAATGAAAATGGTACTTAACAATCATCTTGTGTTAAAATACTTGCCATGCACAAATTTTTTATCCTACTTTCCTTAAAATAAAACCCTCAGCATTTAACAGGTGAGCCTGAAGAGATCTCACAATACATTATAATAGTCATTGCGATATTGAACTTGAATCCTACTCAATGTAACATGTAACTATACTGTCTCTTGTTCCTATTTAGGCTTCATAACTTATTCTAATACACTTTGCAGAATGCTCCCATACAAATAGGCTCAGGACAGTAGCAACACCATTACCACTGCAGGAAAGTTGCAATGGGTTCCTCCCTGAAAAACACCAAATCTCAAAATCTAACGCACTAGCTCATAATTCATTTTCTTTTCCTCTTTTCTATAATTCCTTTTCATATCTAAAAGAAGCTCATGGCTGAAGCCATATACTATCTGCAACATGTTAAACCTTCTTTGCAATTTTGCTTTTAGGAAATATGATAAAGAAAAATAACATACCCCATGGGCATCCCAAATAAACCATTACAAATGCATATTCTCTTTTGCACTAATTTGGTTGAGAAGCGAAGAAGAGAAAAGCCTATGAGTGACCTTACAATTTTTAGATAAAACTTCCCTTTTCATGTCTCCACATACTATCAGAAGCAGAAAGACATTCCAAACACATATACTTGTCACTTTTTTAACCAAAGAAGTTGCTACCATTGCCAACAATATGTTCACACTAACTTTTGAGGTTAATGTTCTAATCATCATATTTTTTAATTACATATTTTTAAAAAATGCTTTTTTTTCTGAACTAACTTCAAGACCAAAACATTGCTCTCTGCTTCAAGGTTCCCCAGTTTAAACCCAGTAATCAAAACTAAATGCCTTCAGATTTTCAAGGGGTTGCTTCGTCCTTTCTGTGCTCCAACTGGAACAGGAAACTAGAGTGCTTTCTCCTCCACTGCCTGGCTTGGCTTTGCCTTTAGAATTAGAAGATTTGTTCCCATTCCTGGACACTCGACAGGCTGTGATTTACATTTGAGAAAATAACTCCCTGGTTCTTATCAAGGAACCAGAAGCTGCTCCCACCCATCTAAGCTGCTCTCTAGGAAACAGATTGGGGAAAAAAGGAGTTGTGGAGAGGAAGCAGATTCTGTCTGAAGCTACACAGCTTAACACAGGTAAATCCAAAGTAATGGAGGCAAATGTAAAAAAGAATATTATTTATTATCTTCTTTATTAATACTCACGTGTAACCTTTGTTTTTTACAGAAAAGTCTACTTTAGAAGAATGAATGCCTCCTTGGTTTATCATTCCCAATGGGGCTTTTTGCTCCTGGACCACTTTCCCTTTCTCTACCCCACCCCCACAGCAAATGCTCTTTTACACATTCACAGATACCACAAAAAACTTTGTAAACAAGATTTGAGTTACTGGATCTTGATTTAATCAACATCCCACTTCAAAATGGAAGTCAGGTAGGGGAGAGGGTAAGACATAGAAGAAAGGGGAAGAGAGAAAAGGCAGGGGAGAGGAGAGGACAGCTGGTCAGAACTTTCAAGTCTTGCCTTTTCTGAGATGTTTGTGTGTTGTGACTGTTCCTTGAAATTCAATGACTCAGAACACTGACAGCAAGTGCCTGTGCGGTTACTTATACATCTATACTAGAATATGTGGGCTTCCTCAGTTTGGGTCTGGGCTGTTTTTGTTTAAATACACCATAATCCTCCTATGGGTGTCTCCCACATAGAATCAGGTCTCCCGCGAAGCCTTCTCAGAGCCGGGGCTTGCGCAGCAGGGTCTTGCTGAGGTCTTTGACCTCCTCGGGGTTACTGACCCGCTCGTAGCCCAGCACGGCCATGGGCTGGTAGCAAAACTCCTCGACCTGTTTGATCTGCTGGAAGGTGAGGGCGGTCCGCCAGGCGTTGGCGGCCTGCGTTGCATTGCGTGCAGACACCACGAAAGGCTTAGAGGAGGAGCCGGAACCACTGGTCATGTTCAGAGCAAACTGCTCCATTTCGGGGCTCACCAGCAGCCCCACAAAGTCGTATACCCTCCGTAGCGTCTTAACAGGGTCTCCCACCAGGTCCTCGTACCGCACCACCAGATAGTGGCCTTGCAGCCAGTCAGGGGGCTGCAGGGCCGTCTGCAGCGTCTTGGCCATGCTGTTGCAGATGACCTCCATAGCGCCAAGTGCGTGGTAATCTGCCGGGCCACCCACACCCTCCTTCTTGGCACCCAGTTTGTGGCCAGCAGCCTCCAGGAAGGGCATGCGATGGGCTCGCGGGTCCCGGCTACGTACCACCTGCAGGCTCTCCCGGATGAGACCATGGCGCGAGCGGATGCGTGAGCTGGCCACAGCACGGGGATCGCGCACCAAATGAATGACCTTGAGGTCCAGGGCCGGGTCGCGCAGCAGCGGCGCCAGCACGGCCACGTCGAACACACGCACGCCTTTGATGACTAGTGTGCGGTACTTGCGGCACTCCTCCTCGAAGCGCGCCAGGCGCTGTGGTGGGCACTTCTTGCACACGCGATCGTCCACCAACCCCACAACTTCCTTGCGGTAGGCAGAACAGAGTGGAGAGGAGCACACCACCTTGTTGGTGGCAGCGCCAAAAATGCCTAGAGTGGTGAGGTTGCGCCCCCCGCTGCCAGCGGGGCTGTACAGCTGGAAAACAGAAAGGTCGCAGCGATAGAGAGCACTCAGCATGTCCCTCGCTGCCCCTTGCAGGGAAACGGCGTCCCCTGGGTACAGTTTTTGCCACACGTGCCATACTGGCTCATAGAGGAAGAACACCTCGGGGTTCTGGTTGAAGAGCTCGCCAAAGAAGGACGAGCCTGAGCGCCACGTGGTAAACACGTACACCAACTGCCTCTTGTCTTCCGCGCCCCGGGTGCCCCGAGTGCTATTGCCGGATGGGGCCGCGGCCCCTGCGGCGGCTGCCGGAGCCGCCCCTACGGCTGCGGCGGGAGGGCGGTACGGGGTGCGGGGATCCAAGCGGGTGTGTGCGCGGCGCGACACTGCTGGAGGAGGCCCCGGGCGTCCCCAGCCGCCCCCGGCCGCCCCTGCTGCGGCACCCAGGGGCCCGTCGGGGCTGCACTGCTGTAGCGGCTCCTTGTGCCACTTATAGTCCAGGAGGTTGAGCATGGTGAGCACGAGCAGGAGTGCATAGCCCGCGCACAGCACCAGC